TAGGCTTTTTATACCATGAATATTTGAAATAGCATAATGGAAATGGCTTTTTGCCAGATGTTTTACCAGAAATGTGAAGACATTTCTTGTAACTACCCTTAATAGAAACTGAACTCTAGCTTTAAAAAAAATTACATAAATGGTACTTAATTGCTTCAATAAGTCAATTTCCAGTTGTATTGTCCAAGATGAAAGAGTGCAGCACATTTATGGAGATGATTTCAGAGAAGTAAATTTAATTTATACCCCTAGGAAGACAGTGGATGTCAATGAAAGCCTTCTCGGTCAGCTCTGGCGAGAGAGGAAGCAGATTTACAAGGAATGTGTGTTTTTGCCTGGCCACCCCAAATCTCCTGTAGTTCCAGTGGCTTTCCATGAAGACCATTGTGAGGTAGAACACAATGATATGGATTATTTGAATTATTGTCTCTTTAGAATAGCCTTCTCCTTGTCTTTTGCATAAAAGATATATATATATTATAATAATATATAATATGTATAAACGTATATATGTATATGTGTATGAATATACATAAATGTATATGTGTGTATGTGTATGAACATATATATATGCATATATACAACACACATACATACATATATTTTGTTAAATGAAATAAGCATTCTGATTTTTTTGAGGTTTTAAAAAAATTGATCCAGGTATAAATCTGTCAGGAGATATGATTACATATGAGAACAAAGTTTAGAAGTAAACTAAAAACAAGAAAAAGAGAAGTAAACTCATTTGTATATTGTGACACAAAGAGTTTAAAATTGTGTTTTCTTTAAAAATTCTATAACCAAGGTGATAAGTTAATAATATTCATGAGAAATTCAATTCTTAAGAAAACTTCTTGAGACATGGCTATCCATATTACAATCAGAGGCTTTTTGGGTAACACTGGAGTTAGAATACAGGGAAGTAGATCAACTTACTGGCAGTATTATCAATTCAGTTAATTTTATGTTCTAATAACCACCTGGAAGTGAATTCAAATTTGGGATCCTTAGTGCTACAGTTTGAATCTCAAGTGTCCCCCAAAGGTCCATATGGCAATTCTTGCTTCCTGGTATGGCACTCTTGGAAGATGGTGAAGCCTTTAGGAAGTGGGACCTAGTGAGAAGTCTTCAGGTCATTGGGGGCGTGCCATTGGAGGGAATCGAGGTACCCCAGTCCTTTCTCCTTCCTCTGTCTTGCTTTCTGGTGAGTGGTTTTGATTTGCCATGAGCTGTCACCAGTGCTGCCTTACCACAAGCTTAAAAGCAATGGAGCCAACCAACCATGGACTAAAACTACCAAAACTGTGAACCAACATAAACCTGTTTTCTGTAATATGAGTATCTCAGGTATTTGTTATAGTAATGAAAAGCCAACTCACACAGTGATTCTTAGAGTACAGGCATTTTTGTTCCATCAGTTCAAAAGATCCAACCTTTTAGACACCAACCAAAATATAAATATTTTAAAATCCCTCACTGAGGGATTTTTTACTTCCATACAGAACTGAGACCAAGCTGGGCCAAGTCTTTCCCCAAAAGCATGGCTTGTTTTTACTCAAGAGCCTGGACATATAATGAGATGAGTCCTGTATCATCATAACACAGGAGTGAGAATTGTCAAGTGTCAGCAGCCTCTAAACAATATCATTTGTAGAAGGAATGAAACCAGAAAATTGTACTGATATAAAGAGAAACTTGCCCTGAGTTCAAATGATACAAGGTCAGAGTTGGGAGGAGAGGCAGAGCTAGCAGTGGGATGTAGGGGAAAAAAGCATTCACTCATTCATTCATTTTCATACTCATTCATCACATACTCTACCAGTGAAGATCAACTAGGATTCTTCTAAACACTAGGCTTTTAAATCAGATACAAACTACTCCAGCAGCTTGGAATAGTATGAGAAATATGAAGTTAAGATCTGAGCTGGGCAGAAAAAGGCACGGAACTGTACATTGGGTCAAAATTACCAAAAAAAATGTGAATGCCAGCCTTGATTCTGTAGGCAATGACAGGGAGGTGTATTAAATTTTAAAAAAGGGAATCGCATTCATGGAGCTGTGTAAGGATCTGTTTGGAGATAAAAAAGCTATGGAGCTAATTTGGGGGTAAAGAGGGTTATTGCAATTGTCTAAGTAAAAGGTACTTATATCTGGAACTGGAAATAGAGATGAAATTGTTAAAGGAAAGAAAGTAGGATGAGAAGAGCACAGAGCCATGGGAAACACTTATATTCGAGTCTAGAGGAGACAAGCTAGATGAAGGCTGAGGGGAGGGAGGAGGGATAGAAGCCAATGTGAGGATGTTTCCAGAATATGGAAGCTTGTCAGTTAATAGTACTTCTATGTAAACAAGGAATACAAGGATGGAGAAAAGACTGTTTAAATTAGATTCAGGGTGATCCTTGGCGACTTCAAAAGAACAGATGGATGAGCGAATGTGTGGAAAATAAGAACTAGAAACAGTAAATATATTCTACTCTTTGAAGAATTAAACCATGAAATGAAGAAAAATAGTCTTTGGGAGCATCAGATGTCTTCATTACAAATATTTGGTTGCAAGCAACAGAGAAACCAACCCAAAGTTTACATAAATAAAGAATGTATGGAGATGATTTAGGCTCCAGACATGGACAAATTCAAGGTTCAATTAATGACATTAGTATTTCTTGGCTTGACTCTGCTTTCTTGGCTTCATTATCAGATTGCATATGGTGACAGGCTAGTTGTACCAGCTTCAACTCCATATTCAAATCTAGTTATATCAAAAATGAAGACTTTTACTTACCTGCTTAAGCAAAACCCTGAAATTAGCTCTAATTTGGCTGGAATTGGCTTGACTAGAGCCAAGGGCCCATTCCTGATGAGGATAGAGTTCACTGATTGGTTGAGACCTAGAGATGGTTTAGTCTAGGAAGCCCTAGACTAAAATGGGAAAGAGCATGGTTCCTTGGAGGAAAATCAGAGTATTCTTGATAGTCAATGGAGATTGTCTTAATAGACGATGAATGCTAGGTGACAAAAATACATGTCCAAACTCCAAGTTTCAAAAAGGTAACTGATGGATGGAGGCATGGAACAGAAGGGAGAGGATGCAATCAAGGTATAAATGGAGGTAATCTATTTTGAAAGAAGGCATCCTCATTTCTGAGATGGGAAAGAAGATAAGAAAGATGATAGTAGGCAATTAGACATGTAAGCGGGGCAAGTAGAGGGTACATACTTTTGGCTAATTTAATTTTTAACTAAAAACCCAAGGGAGGGAATATGTAGTGTTTTATTTGTTTGTTTTTATTTTTGCAAGGCCAGCAAAGATGCATTTAGCAAATCAGGGAGAAATAGAAAGGGAAAGAGGAACCCCACCACTCACATGCAGAGGTGGGAGCAAAGAGGCTCAAAATGGTGGTCCTTATCTTTGGTATATTTATACCTTCTATATTAAGCTAGTGAGTGGTTTAAACTTTTCCTATATAAGTGGTGACTTCACTTGGCAAACTTTAATAATTCTTCTAAGTTCCTATTTTGACGTTATCCCCCAAACATGGAGATGATGAGTTTAGAGTGGCTTTACTATCACCCAAATGTGGAGACAATGGGTTTAGGGTTGGTTTATTACCCACACATGGAGATAATGGGACTAGTAAGTGGATACCTGCCTTTTGTGATCTTAAGCAGTACTTTCTGGTCAAAGAATTACCTTCTATTCTCAGACTTAATTACTCATTTAGAGAGGTTGCAACTCACTTAGTAGCTAATGGAAGGAAGGGGATGGAAAGACTGAAGGCATATACATTCAAGTCCTTGCTGCTGTAGTGATTTTTAGCTTTACTTTCTGGTTCTGTCTTAATTTCTGATTTTCCTGTGACTTCATTAAATAAGTTATATCTATTGCACCAATTTGCATACAAATAGAAACTAAAATAAAATTCCTTTCAAATACCTTGCTATATATCAAATCACATAATCTTTACAAATGTTAAGCATGAAAATTTTTACTTTCCATGTATTCTTCCTAACATTAATTGCATAGACTCTCATAGAACATATGTATCATAATTTACTCAGCCATTAAAAAAAGACATTTAAGTTGCTTACATTTTTAAAATTAGAAACAATGCTATAATTATTATACATGATGCTATGTGTTTTTCCTCGAGGTATTACTGTAGCTTAAATTCCTAGGAATGCAGTAATCGTGTAAAGGGAGGGAACATTTCATGCCTACCAAGTTTATTGCAAAATGACATTTCATGATATATGCATGCTTGCTAATGTCCACTGGCCATATATGAAACTTCTAGCTTTATTATGAGTAAAATATTTTAGGCATTTTATTTCATTAATATCTTTCAAGATAACTAACATGACATGTTGGACCATTAGTTTCAGGATGGGTCTAGTACTTCAGGTGTGTTAATATATTTAATTTTGAAAATTTTACAATAACACTTATCGTGACCCCTGTTTTTACAGATAGGGAAGCTAAGATACAAAGATATTGAGTAAACTTCTCAAGGTTCCACAGCTAGGAAGTGAGAAAACTGGTATTCCAACCATGGGCATCTGAATCCAGAGCCTACATACTTAACCATGAGACCAGGTTTACTTGTCATAGTTTTTGATTAATATTTCCCCACATGTAGTCAATGACTTGTACACATTTGTGTGAGAATCTCATCATGCTATTCTCTGGAAGTTTCTTTTTTGATAGTTCTGCCCCAAGGTAGGGGAAATAGAGGGATAATTCTTTTTTTTTAAACACCTATAATAATGAGATGATTCTTATGGATTTGGACAATTCAGAGTCTAATGAGGAGACTTATTTTAAGTTATGCATTTTTTAGCCCTCACCAGTATGTAAAGTTTAAAAATTAATAATTACATTTCTAACTATTAAAAAGATATGCAGTAATTTCACCCACCCAGAATACCCTAGGGATTATTTTTTTGGATATAATGATTCTATAATCTAACTCATACTGATGGTTTCCATGGAGACATACCTTCTGGGTATTTTTGAACATCTGAAATGTGGGTATTGCTTTGATGTGACAATATTCAACCAACTCCTAGGAAAGAAAAGAAATGGCATGAAATCACAGTGTTGGTGTTCCAACATGCTATCTGGTGACTTCTCAGGAGTTGTGTTGTAAAGTGCGGGGGGCACTGACACTTTATAGACTCTCCTGCCAAGAACCTTCCTAACATATCTTCAAGGTCTCTAGGAATGTCAGGAGTGAAGAGAGCCTTCCGTCATTCCTAGGCTTGGTTATCTTAGAGCTATAGAAGAGAGATGAGAGACAGAGGTCAAACAGAATGGGCTCTGATTGACTTACCTCTACTTAAAGAATTTGTGAAAGATCACAGAGGAGTCCCAGGGGAGCACAATATGGAAAGACCTTACTGTGAGAATAGGAAGTAGTAAACATATCTGCATAAATCACAGTGAAGACATTGGGTGATACACTGGTGTAACACTTTAAAAAAGGCTTACACACTACTTTTTTTACAACCCTACACACACTTCACTGCTCATCATTTTTTGTGAAAGATTTGGAGCCCGAACACAAGAAAATAGGCCAGATTACTGATGATTTTAATCCATTCCAAACTGCTCCCAAATGCCAGTTTTTGTTTCTCTTGTTTAGGAGTCAAAGCAAAATTAGCTACTCATAGAACGAACAGAATTGGACATCTCTCTTTAATATACTTATCATTAAACCTCTTTTACCACCCACAGGACATACATAGAAACACACATGCACATACAAACCAAATTATAATTTTCATGACCACAGAAATGACAACTAATGAATAAGTTACTATGAGAAACGTGTGCTTTTTCCCCTTCACCTTAAAAGACAAGGAACTGTAATAAAAAAAACCAGACAATAACATTTGTTAGTAAGGATGTGGAGAAATCAGAACTCCTATTGTGGAGGTAGGAATGTGAAATGGTGTAGTTTCTTTGGAAAACAGTTTGTCAGTACCTTGAAAACTTACACGTAGTTACAATGTATCTCAACAGTTCTACTTGTATATCCAGGAGAAATGAAAACTTATGGTTAACAGAAGCTTATGTATAATGTTAATACCAATATTATTAACAATAGCCAAAAACTATGAACAACCCAAATGTCCATCAATGGATGAATGGATAAAAAATGCAGCATATTCACCATGGAATATTATTCAGTAATAAAAAGAATGAAATACTGATTCACTCTATAAATTGGATGAACCTTGAAAACATGCTAAATGAAATCAGCCAGTCACTGAAGACCATGTACTCTATGATTCCATTTACCTGAAATGTTCAGAATAAGAAAATCTACAGATGCAATGTAGATTTGTGGCTGCTTAGGTTTGGGATGGGAGATGAAGAAAACTGGGTAGTCTTGAAACAACATATGTTTCCTTTTGTAATGGTGAAAATGTTCTAAAATTGATTGTAGTGATGATTGCACAACTCTATGAACATTAAAAGAAAAAAAGAAAAAGAAAGACAAAAGCAGCCAGGCGCCAGTGGTTTACACTTCAAATTCTAGCTACTTAGGAGGCTGAGATTGGGAGTATCATGGTTTGAGGCACCCTGGGCAAAAATGTTTGCAAACCCCATCTCAACATAAAAAATCTGGGTGTGGTGGCTTGTATCCCTGTTACAGTGTGAAGCATAACATAGAAGGATCACGGTCCAGGCTGGCCTGGGCAAAAAGTGAGACCCTATGTACAAAATAACCAGAACAAAAAGGGCTGCAGGTATGCCTCAAGAGGTAGATCACTAGCCCAGCAAGCTCGAAGCCCTGAGTTCAAACCCCAGTACTGGAAAAAAAAAAAGAAAAGAAAAAAAAATACAGAGTTAATGTTCCTAGTTGCATATTTTGAATTCATAATGCACAATTCAGCAGAAAGAGCAATTAAACAATGTCACACTTTAATAGAGCTGGAAGGAAATGGAGAAATGGAACTTCTATTATACTCTGGGCACCATGGCATGTTTCTTATGTATTTCATTTCATTTTCTCTTCTCTTAGTTATTATTGCCCTGTTTTACAGATGAAGAAACTGAAGGTCATAGAGCTTAAATGGCAGCAGGTCACAAAACCATTAAAGTGTGAACAGTGGATAATGAATTTTTTTTTCACTCTAAAACTCAAAGTCCATCTAATGTATGTGTAAGTCACTCATTATTTATGGCTGTAGTCTGGAAGTAGAATGTCCCTAAAGGCCACCAAAGACTTGATCCCAAGGTGATGCTCCTGGGAGGTGATGGAACCTTTGAAAGGTGGAGTGTGGTGGGAGGTCTTTAGATCATTGGGTCATGCCTTTGAAGGGATTGTGGGATCTTGGTCCCTTATCTTTTTTTCTCTCTTTTGCTTCCTGACCATGGTGAGTGGCTTTGTTCTGCTGTGGGCTCCCTCCATGAAAATATGCTGCAGCCATGTCACAGCTCCCGAATCAACTGGGCCAACCTCCAAAACCACAAGACAAAATAAGCCTTTGCTCCTTATAATTTGATTATCTCAGGTATTTTGTTATAGTGACAGAAAGCTGATTGAACATAGTTACTTTTTCACATTATAAATTAACAAATATTAGGAAGAATAAATTTGTAGCGATATTGTGCTTATTAATAAGACACATTTGGATTGAGAATACAAGGTTGATTATTTTTTGGTGGGAGTGGGATAAGGAAGGATGACTCTAAGGACAAGGAAGGAAGTATTTTCTGGAATTCCTTATAATATTTAAGAAAACCCACAAAAAAGCACAAAATACAGCAAGAGAACAAGACATTAAAATATATATTATAATGAGATACATTTTAGAAATTGATTAGTAACCTATCACAAGGTCAAAAGCATTTTTCACCATGAGCTCAAGGACTATGTGTTGGTAATGTCTGCCTGGAACAACCTGAGAGGATTCTGGGACAGAGTCCACAGCAAGTGTTGGGATTGATTCACTAATCAGGACAGGCAAAGCATGTATTTACTAACTGAAAAAAAAGTTATGTGCAACATAGGAGAGCATTACATGGGTGTTTACCACATTTAATCAGAAAAAAGGTGAAGTTCTACTTGATTGTACATTGATGATGTAATTATGAAGACAGTGCTATTCAATCACATAGCATTTGGGTTTTAAGAATTCCCACAGAGGAGTTAAGATTCTTACCGGAGAATTATCCACATCCACCGTAGCAAACAGTACATTTTTGTATTGCAGAGACAATTTCTGCAAAATAAAATAAAAAAAAATCCCCATTAACTAAGTGTTAACACACCAGATGTTTCTTTCTGGAAAAATGAAAAATGAGCAAAAAGATTGCTAAAAAAAGAGTTAAACATTGCTCTGGCATTTTGTTTCCACCAAGAACGTGAACCACCAAGTCAAATGCCACCGTCAAGCAAGGATTAATGAAAGAACCAAAGTCTCAAGAACAAAACTAAATAGTGTTTCAACCTTGGAAAAGGACATCAAGCAAAGAAATAATGAAATACTATGTGGTAGGTCCAGAGTTACCCTGTGAAGAGAGGAGGGGGATAGTAGCTTTCCTCTAGGGGTACTGGTGGAGGGCACTATCTTCAGTGGTCATCTAGGGGCAATTCTCAGTGGTAGAGCTTGTGCCAAGGCCCCAGTTTCATTCCAGGAAAAGGTGCAATTTATCTGAACTAAATACCCAACTCCTACTTTTACTTTCTCTTCTTGCTGGCATTTTGGTAGGTGTTGGTGCTGTGCTGGCTGAGATGATATCAACATTTTCATGTTTGCTCATCAGCCTAATCAGAAGCCATGCTTCTGTGCTCTGTTATGGATTGAATGTAGATCTTCCAGACTCCTTTGTTAGCTGACTTCATTCGTTTCTGTCAAGGCAAGTGTTTGCAAGAAATGGAAGGTGGGAAGGCAGGAGGAAGGAAAAAAGAAACTGTCTCCTACTTCTGTTTTGCTCTGGGAACCTCTTTGATAGCAGTGGTGACCGTGGCATCAGCCAGGGCTCTGGGAGTAGAGGATGCAGCACAGTAGTGACTATAAATGTCACCCTGTGTTTCTTTTCATACAGCTGTGTCCATACCTTGAGGACACTTGGCAGTATCTTGATTTTTTTTGCTTAAAAATTGTGACTCAAGCATTTCCAATGACCTATGTCAAATGAGATTATTCCCTGATGGTGATGTGAGGTGTCCAAAGCTTGCCAAGTGGAGACAGTTAACAGATATAGCTGTCGCTGGGGGATTCTCTCATGGAAATGCAATAAGGATGGCATAGAATTCTGCTGGAGGAAATTCTCCCCAGTTATTTGGTCTGTGGGTAGTGAATAAAATGTTTTTTTTTTTCTTCAATGGTTCCTCAGATGGTGAAATTGGGGTGAGGGGAACTCTTGAATGATAAACACAAAGATCTTTTGAAGTCCTTTTCAGATTGAGAAGATGTTGATTCTGAACAGCAGCATCTCTGTGTGTGGCAGGAAAATGGCATTGCCCAAGAACTGTGGAGTGACAGACTTGTACTTTTTGAGACTGAAGATAAATGGATGCTCCCTGATGGAAATCATGAGGATAGGTTTGATCTGTGGATGTGTATTTCCCAAGATCAGGTCCTATTTATGAAGTTTTCAGTCTCCCAAGTCTGTTAGGAAATGTACAGGTATATGGCATTTGTCATGTTTGTATCAAATAGTAGACAGAGATGTGGCTTGCATGGGAGATCCTTGCTAGGTTGGGGCTTTCTCATGGATGTTGTCTTTCCTCATTATCTCACCCCATTCTCCTAGAATTCCCTCCACCTCCAAACTACTACCACCACTACCACTGCTACAACTCTTCCTTCTGCTCTGTTCTTCCTCATATACACTGTTACTGCTTTGATCTTAACTATACAAATGTCTCCTGAATTTGATCTTTCCTGTCTCTCCAGTAGCCAATAGTGAGACTATTCACTTTGGGTAACAGCCTCCATTCTTTTCAGCCCGTTCTTATGCAAGTGACAAAGATATATTCTGGCCCGGGGCAGGGGGGTATAGCTCAGTGGCAGAGTGCTTGTTGAATAAGTGCAAGACCCTGGGTTTTATCCCAAGCACAACAAAATAAAGAAGAAAAAAGATCTATTTTTCCCCCCTGAAACTCACATTTGATTATGACAAAAATCCTTGTTAAAATTCTTCTGTTTTGACTATTAGCTGTAACTAATGAACTCACAAGATGAAGTCCTTTTTGATATAGGCTCAGCTTCCTTTTATTTTTGATGGTAATGGGGGTTGAACCCAGGGCTTTGTGCTTATTAGGGGGGCGTGCTACTACTCGAGCACCTTTTGCTTTGGTTAGTTTTTGAGAATCTTGCTTTATGCCTGGGCTTGCCTGGACCACAGTCTCCTATTTATGCTTCCTGTGTAGCTGGGATGCCAGGCACGTGCCACTCAGCCCAGGCGTTGTTGAGATGGAGTCTTGTGAACTTTACTCAGGCTGCTCTTGAACAACAGTCCTCCAGATCTCTGTCCCTCAAGTAGGTAGGATTACAGACTTGAGCTATGGTGACTGACTCAGCTTCCTTTTTTGAAGCTTATTTTATTTTTTGCTTCTTCCACAGTTTGGCCTCACAGATGTCTTGGCCTCCCACGCAATTTTTCATAAATTTATAGACTCTTTTTCTTCAGAAATGCTCTTTTCAGGATTCTATGCCAGGTGACCCTATTAGTGAAGGTCCCCAAATTGCATCTATGGACTAAATCCATCTGTTCATGTATTCGTGTAAATAAAGTCTATTTTTTTGGTGGTACTGGGATTTGAACTCAGGACCTCATGCTTGCTAGGCAGGCACTCTACACTTGAGCTACTCCAACAGACTGTAAATAAAGTTATTAAAGCAGTTTGCTCCTTCATTTTTGTATTGCTATTGCCCTTTGTATCACAATAGCAAAGTTTAGTAGTTGGAACAGATTTGCTATCATGTCCTTTTAAGGAAAAGTTTGCTGACCCTTGCTCTTAGTCATCAAAGCCAAGATTAAATGAGACTGTGGAAGCTATTTTAAAGTTTTAACTTGCTTCTTCAAATCCATATTTTCTTAAGATTCATTTTTTTCTTGTTGAAATACATTCTTCCCCCCACCTCTTGAATAATGGTTTATCTAGCTAACCACATTTTCCACAGAGCTTGAAAAAGTAAAAAAGTAAAGATTTCTTGGACTCCCTTGCAGCTAGAGTCTAAGCATGCACTGTGTGTGGTGTTTGTGTGTGTGTGTGTGTACATGCATGTGCATGACTGTGTGGGGAGTGCTGGGGATCAAACCCAGGGTCCCATGCATGCTAGGCAAGTGCTGTGCCTTTGAACTCCATCCCCAGACCTACACATCTTGTTTTATCAATGAGATGCTTACAAGTGAGACTTGGAAGGCAGAAAGTGATTTTCTTTTGCCTTTGGGCATTGCTGCTGGACAGCAAGATAGAGAAGAAGGAGGTGGGTCTGCAGGAGGCAGTGGCAGCAGCCAGACTCAGGGCTCCAGTGACCAGAAATCAACTTATTCTACAGCCAGAGGTAGTCATGGCAACTGCAGCTCCCTGATGTGGGTTCTGGCTCCCTGGTCATTGTTCTGTTGGTGTTTTTTTTTTTTTTTTTCCTAGCTGTGACCTTGCTTCTGATTATGGTAAAGTTAGGATCACCATGCCTGGTGCTATGCTGTTCTGCTGTTCACAAAATTTCAATCCAGAGCCCTTTCATCCAGCCTTCCAATAATTTTATAAGGATTTGATTCTTTGTATTAAATTCTTTTTATTTCTAATTTGGCTTCTGGTTCCTGATTTAACCCCAGATTGATATAGCTACCTAAAGTAAGTAGACTCTTCTCTCCAGCCCCCTCATGGACTATGAGTTAAAAAATACATGAATATGTTCTCATGCTAAAGGTCAATGATTACAAGAAAAATAAAGCAAAACATGTATTACCTCCATTTATAAATTCCCCTAACTTTCACTCATTGTTAAGCGTTCTTCTGTTCTTTGTCTGCATATATAGTATATGCATATTACATAAGTGTCTACATGTCTACAGATAAAAGCTATGTACACATATCTTTATATGTCCCTATTTTACATAAATGAGACCATAATGTGTATGTTTTTCTATAATGTGTTCGTTTTGCTTGATATGTTCTCCTAGAGACAACTTCCCCATTACATTTGGGTTTACTTAATTCTTTTTTAACATCAGAGTATTATTTCAGTGTGAGTACACCAAAATTTATTGAAAAACTATGTTTAGATTAGTCTGCATTCCAACAGAAAACAGATGGCACAATCAAATTAGGATAATTTGAGGAGGTTAATTTATACAAGGACTAACTATACCTACCTATAAAGCGAAGATGGGTGTAGGAGGAGTTACAGTGGCTAGGATGCAGCAACAGAAGGGCCTGAAGGCATGGAGGAGGAAGAATTACCAATATTTCATTTTATTTTACCTTGTGAAAATATCTTTTATTGATTGTTGGAATTTTTTTGTCATTTTAAATTTTGTGGTATTTGGGTGGATTTGAACTCCCACACCTGAGTGCTGGCTATTTCTTTAGAAAAGTTAGAGCACTTCTCTTTCTTAAGGTTTTGAGTATCAGAATGGATGGGCCTATCAGATGTGAAAATGTTCCCTCTGGATATCCTGAGAGTTTTAGGAATAGCAAGGATGTTGAGTTGTCCTGTAGCCAATTTCTCTATCTGAATATAAATTCATTTTTAATCAAATTTCAAAGGTTGTGACTGTCATTGGAATTCATTCAGATGGATTCAAGAGTTCAAGTCATGAAAGTGGAAATGTTAGAAACCTCACAGAAGACAGACCAGATTATTTTCAGTCATGTTATAGAGGAATCAAAACTTCTCTATATTTGAAGAAAGGAATAAATTCAAAAAAAGTGACCATAAGTAATTGTGAAATTTTGCATAATAAAAAGAAATGAGAATAGAATTTCCTTAAATTCTTTCTGCCACATTTTACTGAAAACAAATAAATAAAATGATGACAGCTTTTAAGTGGGCCTAAAGAGAAATTGGATGAAACATTGTAGCGATGTTACCATTTTAATCTGGAGACTCTATAACTCCATGAACCAATGCATGTCTACAGAAAAGGTCTGAATATAAGCATATGATTCCAACTAAGTAGAATATTTTATTAGAACATTTTACAAAATAAAATGACCTTTCATAGAGCTCAAAGACAAGAAAGGAATGTGTAAGGCTTATGATTTACCCACCATTTGTGACAACATGAGCAGACTTGGAAGACCTTATGTCAAGTGAAGTAAGTTAGTCACAGAAGAAAAGATACTACCCGATTTCATTTACAAGAAGTGTCTAGAATAGTTAAACTTACAGAAGCAGAAATAGAATGGTGGTTGAGGTAGAGTAAATAGAGGGGTGTTTAATAAAGTTAGTTACAGAAACTAAATTAAGTTCTAGATTTCTGCTGTAGGATGTAGTGTATACTGCATGTAAAGGTTTGTTTGAAGTATAGTTTTCATGCTGTGTTCTTACCATGGGGTTGGGAAGGGGAAAGACAAAGAACACAAAAAAACTTGGAGGTGATAGATATGTTTATTATGATGATTGTGATAATGGTTTCACAGGTGTCTGTGTATGTCCAAACTCGTCAATTACATACATTAAATATGTTCAGCTTGGTCTATCAATTATTCCTTAAGGCTGTAGAAAAATAAAGAACACCTTTAAAAAGGACCTATGATTTGCTCTGATGAAAATGACTATTCTTTTATATTATAGCTAAAGATAAGTATTGTGTTTATCTGTAATCTATTCCAAAATTTGAATGCTCTGAGCTCTGGAACTTTGGTAAAATGTAGTTATAATATGAATATCCATTTTTTTGTACCATTGGACTTTTGTATGTCTTGTTCCTTACTAAACTACTCATAGACAGATAGTGTTAATCTTCTGGCATCATTAGATCTCAGAATATTATCTTTAGGCTCATCAGGATGCTTGAAAAGACTATTGTCCCATAAGGCTCATAAGTGCTAAACTTTTAAGAATTTACTGTGAACACCATTTTGGGACTTCCTTCTCCAACTGGTGATACTTACATGGAAAACAGGTTGAATCATTTTGCAGGCACCACACCATATTGCTGAAAATTCTACTACCACAAGTTTGTGTCCAGCTCCTTTCAAAAATGCTTCCAATTCATTCTGAAACCAGAACATACATGAGGAAAGGTGCATGATCTCAGAATCTCACTAAGTCTTGCAAAGGATAAAATGACAGGGTAGGGGTTAAATACCTTCACCCGGTTCCCTACTCCATTGTTCTGTAGGTTGAACTAATTTTTTCTTAATGTATCTGAAGTCAGATATATTTCTGGTTGTTAAGTACACATAAATGATGATAAAACTACAAAAATTAGATGCCTATTCACTAAAATGAAGGCTGGGAATGGTGGTTCCTTTTTCCCTGGGAGAAACTAAGATTAGCCAGGGGGAAGTGAGGATAAACTGCTGTTCAGGGTAGAAATCTGTATTTGTTTTTAAAAGCAAGGGCAAAAATGCAGTAATAGTGAAACAAAAATGAGAAGAACCAATCTAACACTGTGAGTCATTTCTTGTTTGGTTCTGGGGAAGAGATTATGATACCAAACATCTAAGGATTTGACATTTTTTTTTCTAAACATCTTAAGTGCATTTTAAATTAATTGTTGATATAATCTAACTTAGAGCTTCCCCTTCATAGGACCTCAGATCCCTATGTCTATATTCTCTTGCTTCATAAATAGTGACTATCCTATACTAGATATTACATGCCAGGTTTATCTCACAAGCTCCAATTGGACTTAATTCTGATTCACCCTATTTCTCCCATTGGTCCTTAACTGCTACATGCCAAATACTCATGGAATGTTCACTAGATGCATGAGTGGTTTAATACAGCAGAGTGGTTGGTTCAAGATTTTTCCTTTAGTCACTGGAATTGCAACAGCAGGTGCTCATTTACTCTATGCTTGATATTTTGTCCTAAAATCTCTATGCTCACCCTATTAGGTATGCAGTCTTATCATGTCCATTTCACAGATGAGAAAACTGAAATTAATTTTCTCATGGTCAGCCAACTGGTGAGTTGAGTAGTTGGGATTGTTAATCCAGGTGTCCCGACTCCAGAGCTGTTTCATTAACTGTTACACAAAACCATCTCCTGACTTCTTCACAGTAATGGGACACACTGTCCCTTTTCACCGCCCTTGATTACATTGTGTGCTCATTCCTGGACCAATCATTAAGTTGAGGAGGTAGGATAAGTAATTAGATTAGGTTGAAGAAGGACTATCCTTCATTAGAGATAGAACGAATTCTACACAAATGCTATATACTAGGGGGTCTAGACAATTTCAGTTGGCTTAGTTTCAAGCAAGTGAAATGGGTGATTCAAATAAGGTTCTTTCATGTCCTGTCCCAATTTTCCTCTAGGATGGGGTGACTGGCTTCTCAGAGAGCCAAGCCATGATTCTATTTCTCATTTGCTTCTGAAGTTAGAAGGTAGAGATGCCATCCTCAGATGCTCCCAACTACCCTTCACTCCCCAGTAGTTGTTCAGGTGTGAGTTGATGCAGTTAGATCCATGAAGTTGACTTGGCTAAGTTCCCAACACTAAGGGAATAGTTCCATAGTGTAGGTATATTTGTGCAACATGTGCATATTGAAGCCTATACACTGTCAGACACCAGACACCTTGCTAGAATATAACTTATATTAGAAGAGGAAGCTGACAGTAAGATTGACAGAAAAATATGTAGTATGTTAGCGATAACTGCTAATAAATAATAAATGGGGGAGGAAGAAAGTATGGGGTTGTTTTATAATTGTCTATTCCCAAAATAGATACCACCTGGAGGTTCACCTCAAAGAGAAGAAGACATCTAAATAAAGATGGGAAGGAGATAGCAGGTCTTTAGGATAGGTCTCTGGGGAGGAGAGGTAGAGAGATCCCCAAAAAATTAAAAACAGAAGTTTCAAAAGCATTATCACATGTGTGGTATTTTGAAACATTTTCTTAGATCTACAACTTACTACCTTTTTTAGTATGGTCAGCATTATTTTTGTGATCATATGCATTGCTACATTTAGGAAAAATTACCTACATCCAAATCTGAGGTTACCAGTGAATGTGATGTTTAGGCCCTATGCCCTTCCCTGCCCCTACAGTTCTCACCCTCCTCTGACGAAGACGGGTATCAGCAAGTCTGGATTTACTGCCTATACCACTCTTAAATGAGGTAAGACCTTAACTTCCCTTTTAGAGGCAATTTTCTTTCTTGTAAATGAAGAATACTCTCTGCCCTATATACGGATTTAGATTTGTTGTGGCAGTAGCATTGGGCAATGGATAGAAAGTAACTTTACAAGAATCTACCTAAGAAATTGTTGATACTACTGGTCATCATTCTTTTCTACCAGGTTCCATCAGGGTGTCTGGGGTTTCTGCTTTCTTTCCTAGGATAAGATAAAAGATGTGGACTCTCTTACTTCCATAGAATTTTCCATGTACAGCTAAGGTGGAATCCATGGGATCAGATAAAGGACAGCACATGTTAGGAGCTGGTCTGAGTCCAGCTAGGGTAAGAGCAAGAAATAAGAATCAGGGAGGAAGAAATCCATTTTGATCCTTGGCTATCTCTCTAGACAGTGTCAACCCTCAGGGAACAACATGAAGAACAAGAATTTAAAAAGTTCCAGAGCAATGAACAAATACTGGGTAGAGCAAATAATTCTTCAAGTTTATCAAGTCTCATTGAATATTTCTCTTGAAATATTTCTTTTGAAATATTCCATGAAACCAAATGAGTACTTGCCATGTCTTCAATAATCTTCACCATGATTTACACCTGGTAATGGCTGATAAAATTCTCCCACTGATTCAGGTGGATCACTGTAGTTTTCTGTTAATTACAGGATCCTAGCAGGAATATACAGGTAACATCTCTATGACATCATTGAACGAGTCAGCTCAGAACCTGGAACTTTGGCAGATTTTGGACCTATTCTCCCTTTTATGCCATGACTCATTGGTTAACGTGGTGAGCCAAGAACCAGAGAACTGAAGGCCTTGTAAGCAGAATCACTCTCATTTTTGTCTTATATCATTGATACCCACACATTGCTCTTTGTGCTCTGACCCCCACCCCCAACCACCAAGTGAGAAGTAACCATGATAATATTAAATGGATTAAAGATAGTTTCATTTAGGATTTCAAAGAAAATATTTTGCCATTGAGAAAAATGCTAGAGCTATTAGCCTATAATAAGCTCCTGTAAATTCATTTTATGAGTCTCAGATCCTCTGAACTTTGCTATTTTGTCCTAACAATTTGAAAGGCAAAGAAACTTTACTTTTATGCACTAAATCAGGGGTTGGCAAGTTTTTTCTACCATGGGTCAGAAAATATTTTAGGCTTTATAGGCCATGTTTAGTTTTTCTTGCATGTTTTTTGTTTATAGCCTTTTAAAAATGTAAGAATCATTGTTAGCTAGCAGGTCACATATAAAAAAGCAGTTTGCTAAAAGCTATAATGTATCATTTGTGATTCTTCACAATTTAATGTCAGAGAAAAAGTAAACATGATCATGACCTATGTTCTTCAAATCTTCAGGGCAACAAGAAAAACATGTGAGAATTAGCAGATTCTATTAAAAAAATTAAAAACAAACCAGCGAATCCTTCTTTTGGTTTTCCCATACCTCCAACTCTGGACCATTAGTTGAGAACCATTGTTTAAATATGGGCTCCGTACCAGGCATCACTTTCATGTGTGTTATCTTATAAGTACCCATTTAGTTAAGGTGACTGTGTCTACTCTACAGATGAGAGGATCCAGGTGAAGCAAGTTTAGAAACTTTATGATAGATAGAATTAGTTTAGAATTCAAGCCTGGGTCACCTGTCACATAAGGAGGAACATAGGGTCAGCTAAACTATGGAAGTCTCTTAGAAAGCTGTTCAGCACCAGATAAATTGAAGTCAGGGTGCATTCATTTTTTTCTTCTGCATTAGGAAGATATCTTCCATTTCTGCCTTCCTTTTCTTTAGAGCACAAGCTCTTGAACTCACTCCACTGCATTTGGAAAAGAAGACCTCAGGATTAACTCAATCACTGCTACCAAAACAACACAACTTTTGCCACATCTGGGAGTTTCTGGAAGTTGAGTAAGGCTGGGCCCGGACTTCTGCTCTTCAGTGTTAGGGCTTGCAGACTTTTCCACAGAATTAGCTGCTAAGAAGCTCGCCCAGTCCATGGGCAGGGAGAGCACAAGCTGACGGCTCACAGAAATCTGTTTATTTCCAACTATAATTAAGCACTACTAAAATTCAGAAAATAGCCAGATTTACCAAAACTGACATCTTTTTTTATGTTTTGCAGTGAAAAGTGTCTAGTTAGCAAGCAAGCCAAATTTTATTGCTGGAAGGATGTTCCTAGTCAAGAACCTTCTAGAAAAGTGGAGCGGGGCATTCCCTTAAACTGACTGGCTCCTTGGTTTTCCTGACATGTGCTCACATGCCTTTCCTAGACTCATTTCTGACTTCTGGGTTGGACTTGTAAAGCTCCAAGACAGTCTGGGTGGAGTCTCTTTTTGAGAATTCAGGGCTGTGTTTTGTTTTTTTAAATTTACCCAGGAGTGCAGTCCTGAGAGTGAGTTGGGAATTTTAAAGTTTAAAAAAATGACAAGAAAAAGAGTGAGAATGGGGAGAAAAGAAGTAAAGAGAGAAAAGAAAAAAAAAAAAGCCAGTGAGAGGAAAAGGGAAGAAGGAACAACAACAACAAAAAACTCCAAGGAAAAAAGTGAAAATGTAGTAAATGAATGAAGGAAGACAAGAAGGGACTTGTGTATACAGAGAAAAAACTACAGGGAGGACTTTCATTTCATGAAGTTAAGAGTAAATGCTCTTCAGTGCTCTAAGCCCTCGGTATTCAAGATCAAATCCACTGAGTAAAGGTCTGTATTGCAGATTTCCTATGTGATTCTTATGCACAATGGTGTTTTGAGAAGCCCTGGTCTCAGGTACATTCCTGACCCAGGCTGTCTGTGGACCTGTGGACCAGCCTCGGCAGCATCACCTGGGAACTGTGAGAAATGTGCACTCCTCCGGGCCCTGCCCTAGACTTACTGGGTGAATCAGGAGCTCTGAGGGTGAGGCAGGACAGAGCATGTTTTAACAAGCCCTCCAGAGATTCTTTTGCATGCTTAAATTGGAGAATTACAGGACTAGATTATTTTGTCAACAGCTGGATGGGTTTCTTTTGGTCATGTCTTCAACACCCTAAGGATGCAGGAGTAACATTCAAAATATTTAACAACCTCGGTACCTTGGTACTGATCAATCAGAATGGACCATATCTGTGCATCCTGCTTAGCTGGTCACTACCAGGTGTTAATCCTTTTAGTTTCTGGATTTGGAAGATACTCAGGGTGTTCTGGAGGAGGGACTGTTTTAGCCTCAATAATATGGGACAAGGTTATAGGGTAGGGGGGCCAGAGGTTATTAATCAACTTTTATGTTTTCTTTTTTGTGGTGCTAGGGATTGAACAAGGGCTTTGTGTATACTAGGCAAACACTCTATCACTCAGTATTATGTATTTTAATAATTTAGTAACTGATATGCCATCCCTGCATGTATCACCTAAACATCAGCTGATGTGATATTGATGATAAATTGAACTGATGCTTGGCCTAGACACAAGTGGTCAACTGCAACATTCAGAAATGCGTTATTTGTCAGAAAAGAAATATACTTAACTAAAATTAGCATATTTGTTTGGAAACTCATCATTGAAATGGGGGTCCTCAACATAGTATATAACTTTTAGTGATTCTTTTACTATCACGGAACAAATCTCTGCAAAATCCCTTGGCCAAAGGCTAATGTCAGGGACAGGGCAGTAAGGAGCTCTGTTAGTATGTTGAAAGGCACTTCATACTGTCTCAAGGAGCCATGATGGTGGGTTGTACGGATAGCTTGCATGGTGGGTAGAGTGGAGAAGAAGGCAGGCAAAAGGTCAAGATTCAAAGAAAGATCAAGATGAAAAGAATCCTTCTCACTTTTTGCTCACCTCCTACCTTGTGCATTAAGGGAAATAAATGAATTTATTCAAATGTGTAAAAAACTGTGCCAATGGCAAATTTTTCCACATGTAAGCTCCTTAGTGTCATGTCAATTATTTGCATTATGAGACTTTTTTTTTTTTTGCCAGCATGGCCTTGGCTTTTATGGCCTGTGTCTGTGGTGTACTGCATGGGCCATGCAGACACTCTGATCACAGAGGAGGGGAAATTGGACACTGTTATCCCTCAGGCAGAAAAGAGTTGGAACCCAAAGATGGAGGTCAGGGAAATGCCTGCCTTTTTGTAGAAAGGCACTTGGAGTGCTGTTCCAGGGAACAGAAATGGATTCCAGTGAGTCCTGCATAACCAAGGCACAGGAGATCACATAAAATGAATATCAAGGAAAAGAATTTGCTAAAATCCAGTCATTTCTTCCTTTCTTGAAAGATGTCTTTGTTTTCTCTACACCAGGGAATGCAGAAGTCTTTACTGATTTTCTGTGTCATCTCATTTCTACAGGGGGCCTCAGTCTCTCCCAAAGCCTCCAGTGCCTCTTGTAGACATCTTTTGTTAGCTATACATTTCTGGTTATTTTTATAAACATTTGAAAACACTCAGAACTCTAGTAGAAAAATAATTAGCTGGGACACCATCACCAAGATTGTACTGTGCTATCACTATGGTTAATATTTTGGTGTGTTTATTTAGTCATGTATGTATGCATGTGTGAATATGTATGTAATTTAGTTAATTGAATTTGAATTACAACACGCTTTTGTATTCTGCTGTTTACTTTCGTGTCATGTCAAGGTCATTTGATTTTTATTGTTGCACACCATTCTGTTTTTTGTGTGCATAGTGCTTTAATTAACTTTTACAATTTATGTTCTTTAAGGACATGAACATAAAAGGGGGATTATGGGGGAATGTGGGAAGTGGAAGGAAGAAAACAGAGGGGGTGTAGGGGAAGGATATGATGGAATGCATTGTATGCTTGTATGAAAAGGTCACAACAAAATCCACTTACATTTTTTTTATGAGGTCTGGGATGTAGCTCGGTGGTACAGCGCTTGCCTAGCATGTGTGAGGCCCTGGGTTTGATCCCAGCACCAAAAAAGAAAAGACAAAAAAAAATTTTTTTAATGAAAAATAGATACAGTGTATGCGGAGGAGGTACTTTGTGGGAAGGGGAGGGTGAATGAAGGAGATTAAGGTGAGGGTATATGGTGGATGAACTTCACATACTTATCTGAAACAGAACAATGAAACCTCTTGCAATAGTTTTAAGTGGGACAGGGAGTGGGTGGGGGGGGAGATGGTGGGGGTGATCTAACCAGTGTACAATATAAGCCTATATGGAATTGTTACAGTGAATTCCCCCCAAACGATGAACATATTTTAATTTTTAAAAAATGGGGAAAAAACAGAAAAAAATTCTGTTTGAAAGTTAAAAAAGGCAAGGGGGGGATGGGGGAGAGGGGATAAGAAAACAGATAGGTGGTGAATATGGTCAAGGTACATTCCATGCATGGATGAAAATATCACAACAAAACTCCTCACTTGATACAATTAATAAACGCTAATCAAATTTTTAAAAATTTACATTCTTTGCAACCTTACAGTCATAATATACATTGTGATAAGTTTCTTTCTTTAAAGTCATGGTGGAAACTTATTTTTCTTAGGCTAATTTCCTAGGAATACAGCTATTTTTAATAAGTGTTTTGTTTTGTTTTTTGAGACCGTCTCTTTACGTAGCTCAAGCTGTTCTGGAACT